GTTTCCGTCATAGTAGACACCGTCAGAGCGAACGCAGCATTTAAATTGCACGCTTCATTTTCCAATTCCCACCAATCAAATCGTCCATTTATGTGTTCAACTGGCGTCGAGCATTGCGGTAAAAGCCGACTAGAAGCTAAAAGAACTTGCAGATGAGCGGTATTAACTTGATAAGCGCGTCATAATTGAATCGACTATTTCACAAACTACCTAAGTTACATTTTCTTGCAAAATACTTTTACTTCCCACGCCTACTGGTGAGGAAGTTTTGTAATCGCTGAAATTAAAAAATCGCTAATATTTAATTTTTGGTGGTTTAGAGGCTCCCAATCATTTGCAGAAAATCTTTCGTAGAGGTTGAACATCGGGGTTGGGGTTTGTAGTGATGTAATTGTAACTGCATCTGGTATGTTCCCGTCCAAAGTCACGCGCTGCATCATTTCAGATAAAAAAGAATTTATTAATGCATAGGCCGGCTGCTCTAATCCAATATATTTCAAAATAGCCACTAGTATCTCATGATTAATCATGTCAAATGCTTTCGTGTAGTCCAATAACACCAAGACAGTAAGTAGCATTTCCTGCATCCTGTTCTCTGAAGACATCATCCACAAGATCTGTTAATGCTGTGGAACAATTGTACCCGGTTCTAAACCCTGACTGTCTAGGGGGGGATGATATTGTTGGCAGAAACGTAGTTAGCAACTTGTATAGCGATTGCCTTTTCCAAAAGTTTTGAAAGGGTCGGTAAAAGCGAGATTGAACGTAGTTGACCAAATTCTGTCGGATTGTTAACCTTAGCTAATGGAACAACATTGGCCAGCTTTCAGCTTTTAGGAAAATAAGACCTTTTAATACAACTATTTATAATATGAGTAATATAAGGAGCTATAAGAGGGCAACACAAGGAAATCAGGGTAACGTTCAGGCTATCAGCGCCAAAAGCCTTCGTCTTGATACTGAGGTTACTATTTAAAACAAAATCTTCGTCGATCCATGGACTGTATGGTCTTTTTCGACCATTGTAGTCTTTTAGGGGTGCATGGGAATCAAAAATATTTAATATGGTGTCTGTTAAAAATGATACCTTCGATGTCATCTATTTGATATTTGTTATCCCAAGGCGCCGACTCAATGTCAGTCTGAAACAGAGCTAGATTTATTCGATGTAAAGCCCTAAATTTATAACAAAGATTAAGCGGCTTGATAGCTGTTATACTCAAATCTGCATAAACAAGAAGGTGATCTGAAATATTGGGATCCCGAACGCCCACATCCTTCACTATCTCGGGATTACAGCATACATACTAAATCGATCAAAGTAGAATTAGTGTTTGATATTCGTGTTGGCTCAGACACCACTTGACTTAAGGGAAAGGTATTTAAAATATCATTTAAGTGGGTGTCACTTGAAGAATCGATATCCAATACATTTATGTTGAAATCGCCCAAACATACAATTTGGTTACACTCAGTACTGAGGTCAATCAAAATGTCTTCTAAATAATTTAGAAATTCCCTACAGTTAGAGCTAGGTGGTCTGTAAATAATGCCAACTATGAGTATTTATTTTTCAAGCTGAATTTTAACTCAAATATGCTCAATTATGTCCTTGCACTCACTCCTCAATATATTAAATTTTAGGTTAGATTTTAGATATACGAGAATTCCAACACCACCGCCGCGGGTCACGCGGTCTTGCCTGACAAATTTGTAACCATTGAAGAAAGTAATATCACTGTCAATATTAGAAGTTAACCAGCTCTCTGTAATGCCAACTATATGATAATTACTGTCCAAAACATCCTCTTCAAAACTGTTGAAATTATTTATGAGAGTTCTGACATTAAATTGTGTACAGCGCATAGAAGGAGTGGTAGATAGAAAGAAAAAGAAAAGGATACGAAAAGAGAGGAAGTAGTGTAGAAATTAATATAGGTATCTGAAATACTTAGTACACAAAAAACTAATTAAATAATATTTGTACCTGCAGCCGTGCAAAACAAGCTTCTTTTTTAAGTACCCCATACAGTAATTCATATGCCACGCCATGAAAAACTCTACTCTTAACCTTATAGAATAAAACTTAAAAAAAACCAAAACAAAATTGACGCAAATTAAAATATTAGCCATATCAATTGAGGACTGTCGTTCTGTGCTTTACACTAGTCTCGTCGAATTGAAAGACTTAATTAAGTGTATCATGCTAAAAGGTATAGAAAATGAAATTTTCAAAAATACATCCTACAACAGGCAAAAATGTAGTTCTGTAATTCAAGTAGTAAATAGTAAATATAGGTATTATAATAGATGTGATAGCATAACTATGATGTCCATACCTCTAAACAAAATCACTATAAGATGTACATGCTATCCATAGTAAGGTGGTTTATTTAATATATACATATGTTATGAGATGAATCAACTTTCAATCAAATAAACCAGATGAATTGCAAAATAAATGCGTAGTATTTTCCATTTGGCGCTCGTACACCCCTACAGCCCTCGCAAAAGGAATCAGGAATACACATCTAACTCACGAGTTTTTGCAAGAGTCCCGAGTTATTAATGCGATGCATAACGTCACCAAGTTTCACAAACACAAGACCATTACGACACCAGGCATTTTTATAAGTATATTTGTTTGTATAATTCATGTAATTTTGTTGTTTTATGTGTTTGTAACTAGTTTAGAGGTACTAACTTGTGTCAAACATAACCGTTTAAGAACTAGTAACAACGTTGTGTGGGAAATGCAGAGTCAATCTATTTGACGCCATCCTTTTTACTGGAAACGCAGGTAGATGCGTATTTTAGGTGTAATCTACCTAATTCAATATATTACTTTCCATTCAAACAATACAACGATATGCACGTTTGTTGAAAAAACAACATAAGCTTATGTATATCGTTATCAAATCGTGTCCACGTCACTGTTTAAATAACTGATATAAAAAAGTAACGATATCAGGTATCCCAGATATTCAAAAATAGCGATCGACCATCTTTATCACTGCTAAAACAACGTAAGTCTAGAACATGTTTTCTGGATTTTTTCGGTATTATTATTATCATTATTGCAAAAAGCACTCTACCCAGATACGTGGCCAATATATTCTAGTTGAGCACTTGATAGATTGTAACTAAAGCGTTGTTCTGGGATAAAATGAACAGAGAGTGCATACTGTACCACAGTAGAAACATCGCAGAAAGCATAGGTCAGAGAGCAGATGTGCATTGTGTGTAGTGTGGTGAACTAATAAAGCGGAATATTGCCTATGCGCTAACCACCCTTGTGCACCGGTAGCACTGGTGGTTGAACATTACTTTCTACTTCCACCGCTGATGCATCATTAAACACATTGATACATTGCTTTATACGATACACCTATGCCAGTACCGGATCTACGAACATCTACACATACCTGGATGCAGAATTCTGAAAATGACCTTCTCCATCGAGGTATATGGTATCAATGTATTTGGGTTTTCAGTATGAACTAAGACAAATATCTTATTTTATTTTCATATTTAGTATGTATTCAAATAATATTTTGGTTTTTCACAGCTTTTATAGGTACTAGGCAGTAGCAGGGGAAAATGAGTGTTCCGGGGGTAACATTTAAACTATGCCGTATTCACTTATGTACGATAGAGTTAGAATAGGAGGCAAAAGTCTGACGAGTCCATCTTGCAGACCCAACTCATTTCGCAGCCATGTTAATTAAGTAATGAAAATTATTGCGACTTAGCAATCTTAACACGTTAACTGCCACGTGAATCAAGTGTGTCTCATAGGTTATAAATTCAGTGAGCCATGTGAATCATCCTTGATTCACGTGAAAACTATTAGGTTTATATCTGTAGCTCAGCGACGATTCACAGCGGCCGCATAATAACATGGTAGTTGAACAACCGTGGCCTCGCAAATAAAATGAGGTAGTTAGCCTACGTAAAAGTTTGTTTATTTTGTTTTTATTTAGGCACTAAGTGCAAATTATTTTAACTTTTATTAATTCAAGACAAACTGTATGCTGGACGCTTTTTATTGAAACAAAAACGAAGTAAATACAAGTATAGGAACGAATTAGCTACATAAAACAACAAGAACAACTATTTTGTACAAACATGAGATTCTGTGAAGCAAGTCACGCAGTAGTGTTTATCGCATAGAATGCACTTCCATCTAGTTTGTGCAGTGGTTTTGGCTGCCACGGTTCTTCCCTTTTCTTTTGATATTTTACAGTAGCAGATGCACCATCTTCGCCTATTAGAAGTGTTGACATCTTCTAAAATATGTTTTATTTGATTTGCTTGCGTATCTTCTTGCTCGTTCTGGTGTTCTTGTGGGAAATTTAGAAGGCATGAAGCAACTTCTTCTCTGAATGTTGTTATAGTCATTTTTTGTCCAGTTACTGCTTTGAACAGGATATATGCATTTACCATGGCCGATCCAAGAATCAATTCCACGGCAATTTTTCTATACCATTTTATCCCTTTTCTCAAAGCTGAGGAATATGATTTGATCTGATCCGATAAATCGATAAATGCTTTGCATGTATTATAGTCAGCAACAACGTCGGGCCTTTCTACTTCCGCATTACGTCGTGATCTCACTGTAACCATTTGGCCAGTATGTTTAGTAGATAAAGTAAGGACTTCCCTTTTGTCGTGCCATTTTGTTATTACAACTCCCGTATTACTCTCTTGACTGTATGATTCACCCTTCTTCAGCTTTTTGTGTATAACATCTTTCGGATTATTTTTACGATTTTTTCTTAGCGTACCCACTAAGTGAGTTTTTTTCTCGAGTAACTTGTGTGCTAGCTCCATACTGGTGTAGTAGTTATCTACATAAATGCATCGTCCGCAGTTCAAAAGTGGTTCGCAAATGTTCATAACGATGTTCGTTGGTACGCTTGACCCTTGCACTTTTTCCTTGCCACAATAGATTTTCAAATCATAGGTATAGCCTCCATCAAGACATAATTTATACAATTTCACTCCGAACTTGTGCCTTTATTCTTGATATACTGAATAAAAGCCAGCCTTCCACGGAAAGGGACAAGCGTTTCATCCACGCATATCTGGTCTTTGGGAATGAAGTACTTTTGAAAGTTCGTTCTAAGCTGCTCCAGGAGGGGTCCAAGTTTGTACAATCTATCAGAAGTGTCGGCTGTTTGATTATCTTGAAAATGCCAATTCGCCAACAACAACTCAAATCTGTTGCGCGACATCACGCCTGCAATTTGGTTCACATATATCTTCTTTTTTGACCAATAGTCTGCCAGTTTAGGAGCACGAAACAAGCCCATCCAAATTTGAAGACCAATGAAAGTCATAATTTCATCAGAATTGGTATCTTTCCACTTATTTATTCAAGACCACTTTAGTAGTGTCGATTCTTTTTTCTGTGCAGCGAAACGATTTGTTTCCCTCACAATATTGTTTACGACATTTTCGTCAACTATTAACTTGAAGAAAAAATGGGAGACTTGTCAACGTGTTCAAATAAAGCATTTACAACACCACTTTCGGGAATGTCAATCGGAGAGTCCTTGAGATATTGCCCAGAAACTTCTTGCCACATCAGTGATGGAACCAGTTCCTCATTTTCATCTGAGCTGTCCAGTTGAAATTGATGAATAACCGCTTCTATGGTGTCCAGAATTGAATCATTTTGAGTTACTTTCTGAGAAGACGATGAATCATCAGTTCTGGTAAGAAGCTGTCTACTAGTACCTTCTCTGCCAACATCAGAAGATGCTATTGGATGATCCACTGTTTTTTTCTTTTTTACTAATGGCTCGTCACTGCCTTTCGAGCTATATGAAGACGATGAATGCCAACTATCAAGTTCATATTCATCTGAGGAAGCCTCAAAAGGATCGGCCTCTTCATCGGAAAACATCTCGTCCATTAGTTTTTGCAGACGTTGCTGCTCTTTCTCATAGCTACCCATTTGTCTTAAGAAAAAACATAAAATTAATTGTTGTAATGAAATGTTAACAAAAAATCTTACCTTGGTTAATAAAAACCGCAAATTCTCTTTACTGTATCGCTAATATAACCATAGACTAAATGAAGAATCAACACGTGGTGATCACCGAGAATAGATAGGTTATGTTTTGCAGAACGCATGATTCATGTGGCCCTCTGTGCAAATTTGGTTAACCAGGCCACGTGAGACACACTTGATTCACGTTCAAAAACACAATTTTTGACAGCTATTGACGAGTAATAAATATCGTGTCAACATTTTTATGAATTTGAAAGTATAATAAACAATTTTTAGCTTGTGGCCCAGGGGATCAATTTTTTTTTATATTGTGGCAGTTAACGTGTTAAAACTATAAAACTACATAATACCTCATGTCCTGTCTCCCAACAAGAAATAATAGTTGCATCTGTAATAGATATTTTCATTCAGACTGATGATACCTGTGTTGACCTTACTATTCCATCAGAAGAGAGAAATTATGCCAACACCGGAGTGGTACTGCCCTGGTCCAGCCAATGTTTATGTTATGCTTTCTATGTATAACGCTTAACCGGTTCTGCTAACTGCATTGATTCATTCTGCGATAAACTGGGAGAATGAAATTATAACCTACTTATACGTATAATACGAGGTGGAGTTGAATAAAAATAGTAGTAAAAGTATGATTCAAATGAGGCTTATAAGCATATCGCATTACATGGACAGTTTATTTCGATAGAGCTAGAGATTCTATGCGTAACAGAACCAGTATTTACTGTGATCTGACAGTATTTATCATGGAGTGTGATATTCATTGACCGTGTATTCTGGACGTCAATATTATTGAAGTATGAGGTTGCATAGAAATCCACTGACACTGACGGAATCATGACTAAATATTTAATACTGATGGTGCGGACCAACACCCGAGATTAACTGGGGACCTCTTAGCTTCCCCCGGACACGCCGATCTCTACTGATGAGCGAGAAAAAAGACGAAGTAGCGACTTCCCCTCTGACGAGACAGATAGAAACAGACAAATAAATTATAAAATAACAAACTCAGAGACATCATAATAATACTTACTCACAAGAAACTCTTTAAGTTTAACCTTAACATTATTTATATCTACACACTCTTTAATGGGATTGGTAGTCTATTGAAAATGCGTGGACGCAGTATTTCAGGAGATCTGTCGCCGATTTTATACTCGGCAAAACACACATTTAGTAAGAGTTAAATTTATTTAAATAACTTTTTCTGTTAATAAAAGTAATACAGCCATTTCGTATACAAATAATGATGGTAAAGTTAAAATATTATAATGTTTAAATTTTTTTTTTCAAGAATGTGTATTACTGTCTCCGATCATACATCTAACCACTCTTTTGTGGGACACAAATACTTGCTAGGCATTTGTTGACAAATCCGAGAAGCATAGGGCATACCTCAATCATGTCTCAACTTGAGCATACTAAACAGTAACTAGTAGTAAGGACCGTTCCTAAATTTCTCATGAGACATGATTAGGAGCTTCTCTTTGAAGCATTATATATTCAAAGTTCAGATGCAATCCCAAGAATTTTACTTCGATATTTTTGAGCCATTAAAGTGAAATTTAAAACCATTGGTTTCTTATGGATAAAATCGGACAATTAATGTTTTTTTTTTAGAATTTAAGTAGAGCTCAGTGCTGTTAAAGTACTTTTGAATATTTTACAGAAAAATCACACAATCTCTCTCAAAAGTAGGCTCACACTTATTCGATATCACCACGGAAGCATCTTCTGCATATAAAATGAATTCAAAAGAACAGTACCTAAGTTCACTTAAGTTTAGACTCAAACCACGTTAGCATGATGTACTGAGTACCCTGAAAAACCATTCACTTTATTTCCACAAGTTACACAATCTTCACAGTTCCAAGTACAAAAGAACTACAATACCGGAACCCATCAATGTAATCTTAGGATACAGTCAGCATTTTTCCTCACATTCCCTCATCCTCCTTTCCTCTTCGTCACAGATAAGTTTGTACACCTAAAATCAAGTTAGGTTTATAAAAACGTAAAATATTAGGAGCAAACATTTTTATACAAAAAGCGAGATAGAGCTGTTGTTAAAATAATACCCTGGAGTCAGGTTTCACCTTTAGTTGACGATTATTCTACTTCAAGATATGCTTTAATTTTGTTTGGTTTAAAGAATATATTAACGAAAACAAGACCACTCATGAAAAAATGCTTACGCCCTTATTGGAGACTGTATTATGCATTCAAATCCCATTTACGTCCCACACCATACCAGCGTGCGTCGTTTAAATTCGCGCACTCCTATTGGAGCGTGCCATGAATGTTATTTCAAATGTAGTTTTTTTCTGAAAAGCAAAGTCCCAACTTTCAGGACACCCTGTATCTACACAAGAGTTTTTATAATATTGCAGTATATATGATATTTATTTCTTTATTTATTTATTTAGCAACATCCAACAGCCATAGCCAATTACAGGATGGATAAACATGAAAATATAAACAAATGCATGTTGTGGATGTATGTAGAGAAAGCTAAAACGCTGCAAAAAAAAAACCTCAAAACAGAATTGGGAGGAAAAAAAAGCGTTCTAGCTTTACCTACCCAGCACTCAACAATCACACCGGCAAGCATTAACGAAAATAAGCATTAATGTCTCCCAAAGTTGCACAAAACGAAAATATATCTAAAACGCTATTAACTGAATTATAATTACGGCACATTATATATATAGGCGAAAACTTAAGTATGTCAGTCCTAGGCCTGGCTAAGTGAAAAGTTGAACTAGTTCGTGACGCTAATCTAGGAATTAAGAAGTTAAGTTGTTCTAAGATGACACTGGAGTCAATAATGCCGTGGATGAGCTTGTGAATTCATTTTGCGTCTGCTCTCTAAATTATAGATTTTGTGACTCACTAGGAGGAAAGCCAATCAGCTTTGTATGAGAGGTATTTTAAAAACCTTCTTTGAACGGACTCTAAGCGGTCAATATATATTTGATGATGAGGATACCATACCAGGGACGCATACTCAAGCTTAGATCTTACATAAGCATAGTACAGTATTTTCAGTGTAAAGGAGTTGTGGAAATCACCAGTATTTTTTACAATAAATGATATCATCATAGGCGACCACGGCGCGCCGCATTGACGGTGACAGGGCTAGAAGTGATCGTTCCACTGACCAGTAGAGGGCGCGAGAGCTCCCTGTTAACAGGGCTGGCCTAAGGAACAGGGGTTTTCGCACGGTAGTGAAGTAAATTCAATATTCGCACGTCGTTTGCTCAAGAATAAGCATCTTGTGATTTTATGTCCTCAAAAAATTTATGAAGCAGAATCTTGTACGGCAACAGTGAGAGAAGAGAAGTTATTTTCAACGAAATGCTCAGTTAATTGCTGTCATATTGATCAAGATATTGTATCAGATTTGTGTACATGCTCATAGTATGGCGCAAATGCTTCTTTCTTTTTCACTGGCGCATTTTACGACCATGGCCGCTAATTTAGTCCGGACGCAAATGAAAAAATAGGTTTATGTATCTAAACCAAGTGATTCATGATGTACTTCTTGATTTAATATGGCATTAGGGGCCCATTTTACAAGAAATCCGCCATATTAACTGTTCTCCAAATTCGCTCACACATATTATTATATACAAAGAACTCCAAAGCTAATGTCTATAAAATTGTTCAATAGATTGCCGGGCAATCTGAAGATCTTCCCATTGAGATTATTTAAGAACAACGAAAAGACTTTAAAAACAGACGGCTTACTACTTTACGAATGTGTATTTTATGGATACAATATCTACTTAACAATTATTGCTTTTGCGGCCAAGTGATGCATCTAGAGTTTTCTCTTTTTTGTAAGAGGTTGTCCTTTGGTCATTCTCTCCTCAACATTTTAATTTTATGTTTATATACGCTTTTACGTAACTCATCCAGGGTTGTGTAAATGTCATACCTCCCGATATTGATTTTAATTTATTGTATGCGTTATTTATTTTATATTACATATTTGTTTTACTTTTTGTTACCGATTATTTTTCTGTAGTTTTTTATTTTCTGACATGTCCTATACCATCAACAGATGGTTTGCCGAACTAATAAGGATTCTGATTCTTTAAAGACGCCTTCTCATTGACTTAGTCAAATCGGGACTTATGTTTGAAACTCTAAAAATGGCCCATTTTCAATGCCTCAGGTCTAAATTGGGTTTAGTTTATTCTAAAGCAATTTTGTTTAGTTTCATCCATATTCCGCACTTAAACCTATCATATGTATTTTATGATTCACCAAGGAATAATTAAAATACCTTTTCTATCTAGTTCAAATTTTCCGTGAATTTTGGAAGATCCTATGCTTGTATTTCGTATAATTTTCCAATACCCACAACAAATGCTATTCAATGCCAAGAAAGTGTAGTCAAAGATTTATATGAGAACCAAAGGGATGCATGCGTAGTTTTTCTTGTAGTAGGCCAAAGTAAGAGGTGTTCTTCCGTTCGGGTAATGCTGTAAAATTCCAGGAGCATAGGCTTTATTGGAAAATATCTGTGAAATCCACTTTTCAGACATGTTCTTCTTTGATGTTGAGCTGCACTAATAATTTCGATCGGTTGTTGGATGGTATACTGGAGCTACAAGTGTATCATGATCTGTCAAGATGATTCTACTTGATCCAACCGCGATCCCACTTATGTCATTCATATGTTCATTTGTTCTTTTGGTACGTTGCCGACGTCTTCATAATTTTTACTTCCCACACCTACTGGCGGAGAAGTATTGTAATCGCAAAATTTGTCGAAAATGAGATATTATGTTTTTTGAATGTTATATGACATATACATCACGAAACGCCTTGTCACTCATTTCCGTCAGTTTGTCTGTCTGTCGATCTGTCCGCTAATTTTATAACCGCCTATAACTTGGAAAGTACTGCTTGGATTCGGA